TCCAGAGAGATCAAAATTAAGACAGATGAAGGAAATGTAGTAGGTGTGATTAATAATTCCCCATTTTTTATAGGAGACCAAGACAGAAATAGGAAGACAGAAACAAACCGAAGGATGACACGAGAGCGGAAGCAGCGAGAGAGTCAATAGGGCTAGAGCAGAGCCACTAATCATGGGAGATTTAAGCCACAAAGACATAGATTAAGATAATTGGGACCCACATCAGAGACAGGAAACTGAATGGAGGACTGAGATGACAGTGGCGGGGATGGAAACTTATGTGTCAGCATGTCAGGGTTATTAATAAGTGGTTATAATCATAACCATAATTTTTCAAATGATGGAAGGGTAAGCCAGTTGAAGGCCTCGGTCAGATGACCAAAAGCTCCAACTGTGGGTCATCATACGACTAAGACCAGCGTCAGGAAATACTTGTCCTGTTTCCTGACAAATTTTACCTAACCTAACCTAACCTAACCTAACCTAACCTTACTAATATGAGAGACGAGGGGATGAACCAGTGAAATTAGATCAAGTATTTACCGCAAGTACATCTGATGTAGGTGAAATGGAATGCGAAAGGCTTGTTAGCTACCATACATTACTATTTTCAGTATCTTGTAGAAGTAAACATTGAAGGAAGACTAGCGGGAGAGGGAGGGGAAGACAGATTTCAGAAGAGGAAGATATGAAAAAAACATGAGTGAATTACTGACTGAGGTGAAAGAAGAAAGGAGAGTTGAGGGAAAGTCATCGAATGAGAAGTTCTAGTACCCAGCAGCAGCAGCAACAGCAGCAGCAACAGCAGCAGCAACAGCAGCAGCAGGAGGAGCCGGAAAGTGTCAGGAGGCAGAAAACCTCTTTACCAAGAAGATGAAGAAGAAGAAGAAGAAGAAGAAGAAGAAGAAGAAGAAGAAGAAGAAAAAGAAGAAATGTTAAGAACAAAGAGATGATGATCTGACCAAATATTTTTGGGCATGACAATAAAGATAAAGTCTAAAATAAAACTACTTCATAGTTACATAAGTAAATTAAAATAAAATAAACGTCAAAAAGACTGACGTAGCAAAAATAATGAACAACAGAAATGATAAGTCTACGAGGAGTAGAACAAACGATTTAAAAACGTGTTGTCAGTGGAAGCAGAGTGCCAGAGAAAGGCTGTAACAACGGCTATTGGACACCATATACACATCAGTAAAGAATATATTCTCTTTGACTGAGGTGGATCATCAAAGGCGATGTAACACAACAAGTTGACACCATGTCTTTGTGAGAGGAAGCAACTCACTATCTGAACCACAGGCTAAATTCTACAAGAAATCATTGGATACGGGACAGTTGCTAGAGAAGTGGTAGACGGCGACTGGAGTCGCAGTATATGAGAACGAGGACAGGAAGGAAGCGTTCACCTGCTGATCAGTAACAAAGAAATACAAACTATGTAAACAAACCACGGTACGAGTGGGGTTAGAACCCATGGCAAGTGAGCCGTAAAACTTCATGGCAGTGCGTTAGCCACTGAACCAGCTGGCTACAATAACTGAGTTTAACGACTCATTTGCCATAGGTTCAAACTCCACCCTTTCCGTGGTTTGTCTGCAGTAGTGTTATTACGATTTTGTGAGTCATATAAACTAGGTAAACAAATAGAGAAGATAATCAAGGGAGTAGCGGAGTACCTGCACATAAACAGTTTCACAAACAAGAACCAGCGCGGGTTTAGAGAAGACAAACCTTGTCTCACAAACCTTCAGGAGTTCTGCGGCAGACGTGAAGCAGGAGAGAACTAAGTGGACTGCTGTAAATAATTATTGACTAGAAAAGTTAATGCAGAACTTTGGAAGAGGCTGAGAAAAAACTTGAGCTATAGGCTGGCTTAACAACGAATGTACTACAGTGGATCATTGAGAACTTTATGGGAATGAGGCAGAGTAATTCCTCGAGGAGAGCCGTCAGGTAATGTTACAGAAATGAAAAGAATAAAAATATGAAAGACGAAGACAAGAAAATTCAACATATGGGCTTGGAATAACCTCATGACTAGTCACGATTGGCCAGACATGTGGCTAGAGGAATTAAGCTTAACAAGAGCATAGTTAAGAAAACTGGGGAATGGATAAAAAGACCCGAAACTGAGTATAGATTCGAAGGGCAGAGGCAGCAAACCTCTCTCAAGGAGAAAGACCTAGAGGCAAGCATAGTGCCGAGCATATCGCCAGAGGCACACATCAACCGAATAACCTCTGCAGCGCTCATTTGACAAAATAAAGACAAAGACTACAGAGGAGAGAGAGAGAGAGAGAGAGAGAGAGAGAGAGAGAGAGAGAGAGAGAGAGAGAGAGAGAGATCATTGCGTCTACCACCTCTATGAAGATGTCGAGTCATTAGATAACTAATGTTTTTTATGAGAGTGCTTGTTACTACTGAGCTAATTATCAGCTTCCTGTGTTGCTACTGGTAGTTGATGGAGGAGCCAGAGTGGAGGGAGGCAGCGAGGGTGGAGGGAGGCAGCGAGGGTGGAGGGAGAGGTAGGGGAGCGATTGTTGTGGGGAGGTTGTGGGTGGGCGAGTAGGTAGGGTCACTGGTTGTTGGTATAGGAGGGGCATGGAGATTATTTTTCGTAATGAAAAGTACCCAAGCAGGGATTGCGTTTAACTAGAGTGGATAGTGCCAGTCACTTCTGCGGCCCCAGACTCAGGTTTTTAACTAGAAAGGATAGTGCCAGTCACTTCTGTGGCCCCAGACTCAGGTTTTTAACTAGAAAGGATAGTGCCAGTCACTTCTGTGGCCCCAGACTCAGGTTTTTAACTAGAAAGGATAGTGCCAGTCACTTCTGTGGCCCCAGACTCAGGTTTTTAGCTAGAAAGGATAGTGCCAGTCACTTCTGTGGCCCCAGACTCAGGTTTTTAGCTAGAGATGATAGTGCCAGTCACTTCTGTGGCCCCAGACTCAGGTTTTTAGCTAGAAAGGATACTGCCAGTCACTTCTGTGGCCCCAGACTCAGGTTTTTAGCTAGAGATGATAGTGCCAGTCACTTCTGTGGCCCCAGACTCAGGTTTTTAGCTAGAGAGGATAGTGCCAGTCACTTCTGTGGCTCCAGACTCATGTTTTTAACTAGAGAGAATAGTGCCAGTCACTTCTGTGGCCCCAGATTCAGGTTTTTAACTAGAGAGGATAGTGCCAGCCACTTCTGTGGCCCCAGACTCAGGATTTTTTTAGCTAGAGAGGATAGTGCCAGTCACTTTCTGTGGCCCCAGATTCAGGTTTTTAACTAGAGAGGATAGTGCCAGTCACTTCTGTGGCCCCAGACTCAGTTTTTTTTAGCTAGAGAGTATAGTGCCAGTCACTTCTGTGGCCCCAGACCCAGGTTTTTAACTATAGATGATACTGCTAGTCACTTCTGTGGCTCCAGACTCGGGTTTTTAACTATAGATGATAGTGCCAGTCACTTCTGTGGCTCCAGACTCAAGTTTTTAACTAGAGAGGATAGTGCCAGTCACTTCTTTGGCTCCAGAATCAGATTTTTAAACTAGAAGGATACTCCCAATCACTTCTGTGACTCCACATTCAGGTTTTAACTAGAGAGGATAGTGCCAATCACTTCTTGACTCCAGACTCAGTTTTTTAACTATAGATGATAGTGCCAGTCACTTCTGTGGCCCCAGATCCAGGTTTTTAACTATAGATGATAGCGCCAGTCACTTCTGTGTCTCCAGACTCAGGTTTTAACTAGAGATGAAAGTACCAGTAACTTCTGTGACTCCAGACTCAGGTTTTTAACAGGAGATGATAGTGCCAATCACTTCTGTGGTTCCAGACTAGGTTTTTAACAGGAGATGATAGTGCCAGTCACTTCTGTGGTTCCAGACTCAGGTTTTTAACTAGTGAGTAAAGTGCTGGTCACTTCTGTGGCTTCAAAAGTGACTATGCTGTTCTGGCCAAAACAGCATAGGTTCGACTCCTTGGCTATTGCAGTGTTGTTATTGAATATATATATAAATATATATATATATATATATATATATATATATATATATATATATAATATATAATATAATATATATATATATATATATAATATATATATATAACGAAAATGACATATACACTTGTATTTGTGTGTTTTAAAATTAGGCTTTTCAGCAGGTGGTGTATATCTCTCAGTGTATTGTATGGACACTGACAGATTACTTTAATATTTATCTTAGAGAAGAAAGTATCCGCAGCTTTAATGACTCTTGTGCAGTTGATAGCCTCTCAACTTTATAATTTTACCAGTCCGCTTTATAAAGTTGTTCTTGCCTCTATCAGTCAAGGTCAGGGATTTGTAGCTGTTGCTTAATAGGCGGTTAATGTTTTAATAACTCATCCACCTCGTTAACAAACTCCACTCTTAAACAACACACTCTTAAACAACACACTCTTAAACAACACACTCTTAAACAACACACTCTTAAACAACACACTCTTAAAGAACACACTCTTAAACAACACACTCTTAAACAACACACTCTTAAACAACACACTCTAAAGAACACACTCTTAAACAACACACTCTTAAACAACACACTCTTAAACAACACACTCTTAAAGAACACACTCTTAAACAACACACTCTTAAACAACACACTCTTAAAGAACACACTCTTAAACAACCACCCTTAAACAACACACTCTTAAACAACACACTCTTAAACAACACACTCTTAAAGAACACACTCTTAAACAACACACTCTTAAACAACACACTCTTAAACAACACCTCTTAAACAACACTCTTAAACAACACACTCTTAAAACAACACACTCTTAAACAACACACTCTTAAAGAACACACTCTTAAAGAACACACTCTTAAACAACACACACTCTTAAACAACACACTCTTAAACAACACACTCTTAAACAACACACTCTTAAACAACACACTCTTAAAGAACACACTCTTAAAGAACACACTCTTAAAGAACACACTCTTAAAGAACACACTCTTTAAGAACACACTCTTAAACAACACACTCTTAAACAACACACTCTTAAAGAACACACTCTCTTAAAGAACACACTCTTAAACAACACACTCTTAAAGAACACACTCTTAAAGAACACACTCTTTAAGAACACACTCTTAAACAACACACTCTTAAACAACACACTCTTAAACAACACACTCTTAAACAACACACTCTTAAAGAACACACTCTTAAACAACACACTCTTAAAGAACACACTCTTTAAGAACACACTCTTTAAGAACACACTCTTAAAGAACACACTCTTAAACAACACACTCTTAAACAACACACTCTTTAAGAACACACTCTTAAAGAACACACTCTTTAAGAACACACTCTTAAAGAACACACTCTTAAAGAACACACTCTTAAAGAACACACTCTTAAAGAACACACTCTTAAAGAACACACTCTTAAACAACACACTCTTAAACAACACACTCTTAAAGAACACACTCTTTAAGAACACACTCTTTAAGAACACACTCTTTAAGAACACACTCTTAAAGAACACACTCTTAAAGAACACACTCTTGAACAACACACTCTTAAACAACACACTCTTAAAGAACACACTCTTTAAGAACACACTCTTTAAGAACACACTCTTTAAGAACACACTCTTAAAGAACACACTCTTAAAGAACACACTCTTAAAGAACACACTCTTAAAGAACACACTCTTAAAGAACACACTCTTAAAGAACACACTCTTAAAGAACACACTCTTAAAGAACACACTCTTAAAGAACACACTCTTAAACAACACACTCTTTAAGAACACACTCTTTAAGAACACACTCTTAAACAACACACTCTTAAACAACACACTCTTAAACAACACACTCTTAAACAACACACTCTTAAACAACACACTCTTAAAGAACACACTCTTAAACAACACACTCTTAAACAACACACTCTTAAACAACACACTCTTAAAGAACACACTCTTAAACAACACACTCTTAAAGAACACACTCTTAAAGAACACACTCTTAAAGAACACACTCTTAAAGAACACACTCTTAAACAACACACTCTTAAACAACACACTCTTAAACAACACACTCTTTAAGAACACACTCTTTAAGAACACACTCTTAAAGAGCACACTCTTAAAGAACACACTCTTAAACAAGACACTCTTAAACAACACACTCTTAAACAACACACTCTTAAAGAACACACTCTTAAACAACACACTCTTAAACAACACACTCTTAAACAACACACTCTTAAAGAACACACTCTTAAACAACACACTCTTAAACAACACACTCTTAAAGAACACACTCTTAAAGAACACACTCTTAAACAACACACTCTTAAAGAACACACTCTTAAAGAACACACTCTTAAAGAACACACTCTTAAACAACACACTCTTAAAGAACACACTCTTAAACAACACACTCTTAAACAACACACTCTTAAACAACACACTCTTAAACAACACACTCTTAAAGAACAAATCTTCTCCCCAAAGACTGAATGATTTGATGAGGTGTGGTTAGTTTAGTTTAGGTTGGGTTAGGTTAGGTTAGGTTAGGTTAGATTAGGGCAGGTAAGGTTAAGTTAGGTTTGATTTCCTTAGGTTATGGTAGGTTAAGTTAGGATAGGTTAGGTTGGATCAGGTTAAAATAAGCAATGATTGGTTATGTTTGGCTATTTCAAGTTAAATTAGGTTTATCTGGAGTTTACCTGGAGAGGGTTTCGGGGGTCTGAGACCAGGCCTCATGGTGGATCACGATCTGATCAACCAGGCTGTTACTGCTGGCCGCACGCAAGCTGACGTATGAACCACAGCCCGGCTGGTCAGGTACTGACTTTAGGTGCCTGTCCAGTGACTTCTTGAAGACAGCCAGGGGTCTATTGGTAATCCCCCTTATGTATGCTGGGAGGCAATTGAACAGTCTTGGACCCCGGACACTTATTGTGTTGTCTCTCAGTGTACTCGTGGCGCCCCTGCTTTTCATCGGGGGAATGTTGCATCTCCTGCCGAGTCTTTTGCTTTCATATGGAGTGATTTTCGTATGCAAGTTTGGTACCAATCCCTCCAGGACCTTCCAAGTGTATGTTATCATGTATCTCTCTCGCCTGCTTTCGAGGGAATACAGATCAATGACCTTCAACCGTTCCCAGTAGTTTAGGTGCCTTATCGTACTTATGTGTGCCGTGAAAGTTCTTTGTACACTCTCAGGTCTGCAATGTCGCCAGCCTTGAAGGCCGTTAGTGTACAGCAGTATTCCAGCCTAGAGAGCACAAGCGATTTGAAGAGAATCATCATGGGCCTGGCGTCCCTAGTTTTGAAGGTTCTCATTATCTGTCCTATCATTTTCCTAGCAGATGAGGTAGATACATTGTTGTGGTTGTTGTTGTTTACTATTACTCTTTGTGTTCTGTTTGTCAGGAAGTTGTAGATCCATCTATCAACTTCTCCCGTTATTCCTTTATCCCGCATTTTGTGTGCTATTACACCATGGTCACACCTGTCGAAAGCTTTTGCAAAATCTGTGTATACTACATCTGTATTTTGTTTATCCTCTACAGAATCCATGACCTTGTCATAGTGGTCCAGTAGCTGGGACAGGCAGGAGGGACCTGCTCTAAACCTGTGTTGCCCTGGGTTGTGTAACTGATGGGTATCTAGGTGGTTGGTGATCTTGTTTCTTAGAACCCTCTCAAAGATTTTTATATGGGATGTTAGTGCTATGTGTCTGTAGTTCTTTGCAATTGCTTTACTGCCACCATTGTGGAGTGGGGCTATGTCTGTTGTTTTTAGTGTGTGTGAGATGATCCCTGTGTCCATGCTCACTCTCCATAAAATGCTGAAGGCACGTGATATGGACTTCTTGCAGTTCTTGATGAACACGGAGTTCCACGAGTCTGGGTCTGGGGCAGAGTGCTTGGGCATGTCGTTAATTGCCTATTCAAAATCTTGTGGAGTTAGAATAATATCCGAGAGTTTTGGGATGACCAGATTTTGGGTTTCGTTAAATTACATTACAATATGTTAGGTTACATTACGATACATTAGTATAAGTTACTAAATGTTAAATAAATTAGGTTAAGAGTAACTTAAGAGTAACTCAGGTCAGATCACTGACAGTGATAAGGAAATGTGTGAACTTTTCAATACCTAATTCCTCTTAGTTTTTACTCAGGAAGATACTAGCGAAATTCCAGAAATAACAAGTTATGCAGAACAGGACGATAATAAACTATGCACGATTAAGGAAACTAGTGACATGGTCCTCAGACAAATAGAGAAAATAAAACCTAACAAATCCCCAGGTCCTGATGAATTGTTTGCAAGGGTGTTAAAGGAACATAAAGAGGAACTTAGCAAACTTTTTGTCTAATTTTTTCAACATATCACCACAAACTGGCATAGTGCCTGATAAGTGGAAAATGACAAATGTAATACCTATTTACAAGGCAGGTGACAGGTCCTCAGCTTCGAACTATAGACCAATAAGCCTTACCTCCATAGTTGGTAAATTTATGGAATCAATAATTGCCGAACCAATTAGTAGCCATCATGATAGGCACAGATTGATTAATGAATCTGAACACGGTTTTACAAAGGGGCGTTCCTGTCTTACGAATTTTCTGACTTTTTTCACTAAGGTGTTTGAGGAGGTAGATTATGGTACTGAATATGATATTGTGTATATGGACTTCAGTAAGACTTTAGATAGAGTTCCACTTCAGAGGCTGCTGAGAAAACTTAATGCACACGGAATAGGAGGAAAAAGTTTTTCCTTGGTAGAGGCATGGCTGACAAATAGGCAGCAAAGAGTTTTCATAAATAGGGAGAAATCAGAATGGGGACACGTCACAAGCGGTGTTCCACAGGGTTAGTGTTGGGTCTCTTGTTGTTCACAATCTACATGAACGACATAGATGAGGGAATAAATAGCGACATAAGCAAATTTGCTAATGACACCAAAATAGGCCGTCCAATTCATTCTAATGAGGATACTAGAGCACTCCAGGATGATTTAAATAGACTGATGCAAATGGTCGGAGAAGTGGCAGATGCAGTTTAATATAGACAAATGCAAAGTTCTAAATGTTGGACAGGACAATAACCATGCCACATATAAACTAAATAATGTAGATCTTAATATTACGGATTGCGAAAAAGATTTAGGAGTTCTGGTTAGCAGTAATCTGAAACCAAGACAACAGTGCATAAGTGTTCGCAATAAAGCTAATAGAATCCTTGGCTTCATATCAAGAAGCATAAATAATAGGAGTCCTCAGGTTGTTCTTCAACTCTATACATCCTTGGTTAGGCCTCATTTAGACTGCTGCTCAGTTTTGGTCACCGTATTACAGAATGGATATAAATGCTCTGGAAAACGTACAGAGGAGGATGACAAAGATGATCCCATGTATCAGAAATCTTCCCTATGAGGATAGAGTAAGAGCCCTGAATCTGTACTCTCTAGAAAAGCGTAGAATTAGGGGGGATATAATTGAGGTGTATAACTGGAAAACAGGAATTAATAAAGTGGATGTAAATAGCGTGCTAAAAATATCCAACATAGACAGGGCTCGCAGGAATGGTTTTAAATTGGAAAAATTCAGATTCAGGAAGGATACAGGAAAGCACTGGTTTGGTAATAGAGTTGTGGATGAGTGGAACAAACTACCGAGTACCGTCATAGAAGCTAAGACGTTGTGTAGTTTTAAAAATAGGCTGGATAAATACATGAGTGGGTGTGGGTGGGTGTGAGTTGGACCTGACTAGCTTGTGCTACTAGGTCGGATGCACTGCTCTTCCCTTAAGTGACGTGTCTGACCTCACTAGGTCAAGACATGGCTTAAGACGGTGGGAGAATTGGACCTGCTTTGCATAGGCCAGTAGGCCTGCTGCAGTGTTCCTTCTTTCTCATGTTCTTATGTTCTTATGAGAGAGCATAAGCGATTTGAAAAGTGTCACCATTGGCAATATTTCCCTTGTTTTGAAAGTTCTCGTTCTCAGACAAGGCATCAACGAACATGTGAACGTTTGCTAAAGGAACGAGTTGAACAGTACCTTCACCACACACACCTTTATTTATTTATTTATTTATTTATTTAATGTCTTTGCAAACAGTACATTGAGATTGTGTATATACAATAGTGGGTTGCAATGCAAAGAGAACCTCTATTATGCCTTGGCATAATTTCTTCATAATATTTCTTCAATATTTTTCTGCAGTCTGACGCACCTCCCTCATTACCTCAGTGTTGCTTCAGGTCACCTGTACTATCTACTATATATATATATATTAATTTTATTTTAGCTTACTCTGCATTAGGACTGAGGAAGTCACTCAGGGAGAAACTTTCCCCTTAATAAATATATTGAACTGTACACAAGTGTGTTTATCCACAGTTCCTCGCTACTGCTATTCCATTTACAACCATCGTTCAAAAGTCAAGAAGTTTTATGATTTCGGGAATTCTTGTCTATCAGATTTAAGCCAAGCAGGACACAGTTCTGTCCTCCACCCAGCGCAGCACCTGACTTCACCCGTTATGTATTCTCCATGTATTCTATTATCCATATTGGACTGACAAGCCACTAGGAGGCAATTAGTTTCCTTAATGAAGTGATTTAAATGGTTTAAGATATGTATCTCATTCATCAGAGTTATTGGTGTTGTTAATCACTACTGCAACACAGAGGTGAGTATCTTTCACAGTGTATATATTCTCAGGTGTGTAGTGTATATATTTCCAGGTGTGTAGTGTATATATTCCCAGGTGTGTAGTGTATATATTCCCAGGTGTGTATCTCTCAGTGTTATTACACTGGAAGTTTGCCTTAATCCCTATTTTAGGAATTAAAGTGTCCTTGAGTGATGGTGCATATGTTACAAGCACTGGCATAGAGGCCAGGAAGCTAAACGTAATTAATTATCCCAAATCCAATACTTTAAAATATATGACCCAAGGAATAATCCCGCTGGGAAGACTTGTTATTTTACCTCGAGTGTAAGGTTAACCTATAGTTCTTCTTTCCCGCAGGGTTGTCTCTCAAGTGTGGCGAGGAGATCCGCTTACACCGAGGAGAGAGGAAGGTCCTCCGCTTTTGGAGTTCCAAAGACGAATCTCTTAGTGTTGAAGTCTTGCCAAGAGTCACAGTTGATGGAGGTGAGGTAGGTTTTACAGGGGGAAGTTCTGTGGGCAACAGCACCTCGTACCTGACTGGCGCCGTCTCAGAAGACCAAGTTGTTAACAGTGTCAGAAGTGACCTGGAATTCAACGACGAGAAAGTCAACGATTCCACTGACAATGTCAGTATGGACGAGTCACACTACTCCTTTGGTGTCAGACTAACGACTGAGTCTCCTAACAAAGTATCCACAACGGAGAGGCTTGGAGAGGCACAGACTGCACACCAACAACTTATTGAACATTCTAGCACAGTCGCCCCACAGCAGAAAGAAAATAACACTCTACACAATAAAGAAAACGAGGGTCCCGGTGTCCACACTGTATTCCTAGACGATTCTATAATATATGACTATAAAACACAAGAGGAGTTCCCTTCTTATGACGAACCTGATCAAAATCCTCATCGTTTCGAGAACGAAGGAAAAATCACGTCGGTGGAGACGCCTTCCTCAGGTGACAGAACGAGTTTGAAGGAGGACGTTAATACTTGGCAAGAGGAGCCTCAGCTGAGTCCCATCGTCATTAAGACAGTGTTGACTCCCCAGCATAAACAAGAAGAAACATCTCACGAGTCTAATGCTCTTCATGGAGTAGAAACTTCAAGCAATTATTCACCAACGACGGCAGACGCAGGATTTGAGCTCTACACGACATTACAGCCATCACAGTATCTAAGACCCAAAAACACTACGGTCTCAGGAATAAATGGAGCCATGGATCAAGGAACAGCTGGAACTATGGATCACGAAACACCGACGTCCCCTGAGATATCAGGAGATATGGATCATGGAACACCGACGTCCCCTGAGACAGCAGGAGCCATGGATCAAGGAACACAGAAGGCCACAGAGGTACCAGAAACCATGGATCAAGATACGTCTACAGATGATGAATTGCTTGGTGAAGACATTGCGAAAACTCCAGCAACATCAACTGAAGTCACGGTCACCAAGGACCCCCCACCGGAAGGTCAACGGCCCGTGAGCAACACTACTGCAACGCAAAAGGTTGAAAAGCCATCTAACGATTCAGAAAGCGAGATAAACAAGGCAGAAAACACAACGGAGTCACAAGAAACAGACCACCAAATGCACACAACAGCAACAGTTCTTCAAGACAACGGCGAGGTGGTGACCCAGCATGTTATATCGTATACATACGAACCGTCCAGAGAAGAAGACAACCAAACACTTGCTGCAGCAGACTTAGCCTGGGAAAAAGTTAAGATAATAGGATCTGTAGAACTATCTGCTCCAGAAATAACCACAGACAGCCTAAGAACAGACACAGAAGATATTACAGAAGCTTCAGAAGCAACCACAGACAGACTAAGAACAGACACAGAAGATATTACAGAAGCAGCAGAAGCAACCACAGACAGACTAAGAACAGACACAGAAGATATTACAGAAGCAGCAGAAGCAACCACAGACAGACTAAGAACAGACACAGAAGATATTACAGAAGCAGCAGAAGCAACCACAGACAGACTAAGAACAGACACAGAAGATACTACAAAAGCTTCAGAAGCAACCACAGACAGACTTAGAACAGACACAGAAGATATTACAGAAGCAGCAGAAGCAACCACAGACAGACTTAGAACAGACACAGAAGATACTACAAAAGCTTCAGAAGCAACCACACACAGACTTAGAACAGACACAGAAGATACTACAGAAGCTTCAGAAGCAACAACAGACAGACTAAGAACAGACACAGAAGATACTACAGAAGCTTCAGAAGCAACCACAGACAGACTTAGAACAGACACAGATGATACTACAGAAGCAGCAGAAGCAACCACAGACAGACTAAGAACAGACACAGATGATACTACAGAAGCAGCAGAAGCAACCACAGACAGACTTAGAACAGACACAGAAGATACTACAGAAGCTTCAGAAGCAACCACAGACAGACTAAGAACAGACACAGAAGATACTACAGAAGTAGCAGAAGCAACCACAGACAGACTTAGAACAGACACAGAAGATACTACAGAAGCAGCAGAAGCAACCACAGACAGACTTAGAACAGACACAGAAGATACTACAGAAGTAGCAGAAGCAACCACAGACAGACTACAGTCAAACATAAAAGATGCTACAAAATCTATGGAAGCATCATCCGACAGACTAAAAACAGACGTTGAACATATTACAGAAACCACCACAGACAGACTAAGAACTGACACAGAAATAAATGCAGATGCAACAGAAGAAGCTACAGATAAAACACCAACAGACACACAAGAAAAGATGGAGGTAGAAACAGTCACAGACAAACTGCTCTCAGAGGATAACATTACTGAAGCAAATGAAGAAACAACAGACAGACTAACAACAGAAATGAAAAATAATACTCAAAAAATAGAAGCAGCCACAGACAAAGCACAAACAGTCACAGGAGACAACAAAAAAACATCAGCAGCCACAGAGGAGCAGCCTGCAGGAAACACGAGGACTGATGAGCACCTCTCCCACAGACTTGAAGACCAAACTACAGCAGCGGGTGACGACCGCCCACAGGAACACTTCATTTCAGAGACCCGGCAGCAGATTACCACAGGTCCTCCAGAGACACTGGAAGTCTCCGAGTCAACAAGTACCTCACTCCAAGAACAGCCAGAAACCTTACCTGTAACAGACCTGTCTGGAGACAGAGTTGCAACAGATTCCCCTTCATCTGCCACAGAAACGACCAGTGCTCTCATTCCCGCTGATCTGAGGACGGAACAAATCTCAGACGAGAACTCTGATCATAAAAGCACTACTGTAGCAGCGGTAAGTTCGTCACAGCACTCTACTGGTCTAGAGGTCGGAGAGGGTCTTGAGAGTGAAGCTGAGACGGAAGCCTCAGCTGGTATAAACGTAGAAGTCACCACCAGTACCCGAGTAGATGTATTATCTCATACCAAAACATCAATAACGGGAACCACAGAAGCCTTCATAGACACCACAGGAAGAGGCGACATAGAGGGAACTGAGGAATACACAGCAGAAGATGCTATAATAGGTAATCAGATTTCAAATATCAGAGAATCTGTTACAGACACCACAGACAAAGCCACAACAGAAAGCAAAGAATCAACCATAAGCACCACAGAGGCGAATGCAGGCGACGAGCAAATCCAATCAGAAACCACACAGATTTATGCAAGCACCACAGAAGAAGCTCCTATCAAGACTGACATTAACGACACCCCTACAGACACCAGGGAAGAATCTCCTACAGACAACAGACACGAAACCCCAACAGACACCAGGAAAGATACCCCTACAGATAACAGACAAGAAACCACGGTAGATACCTCGGAAAACATTTTTAACACCAATGAGACAGCCAGCGCTTCAGCAGACATGATGGAGCAGGCAACCAGTGACCAAGAGAGTGATGTGACAGCTGACAGCCCTGGATGGTTCAACATAAATATTAATGACTACCTAAATGGCTTGTATCACTATGTTAGCGGCGGCCAAAAGAAAGCTGACGGGACTGACGGGGCTGACGGGGCTGACGGGGCTGACGGGGCTGACGGGGCTGACGGGGTGGGTGGTGGAGGCGAGTATGAAGCAACAACAGTACCTTTTGTTGTAGAGGAACCTGGTGATGGTGAAACCGCGGCACAACTTACTACAGACTACTCAGGAGTCACTGGTAATGTTCCCGCAGATAAGGCTACTATTGATACTGACATCAGAGAAAGTGTACATCATAGCCAGAATGGTGGAAATGACGTATTCAAACAGGGCACTAGTGTCACTCAGGGTACGGATTTGCCTTCGGTTACGGAAATTAAAGTCTCGGGCTTCCAGAGAGTCACAGACAAGGCTCAAGACCCATCAACCAACTCTCCCACAGCAACCACGAGTATAATCGTAGAAGGAACAGAAAGCCCAACTGTTGTGGGGTCAAGCAGTCATGTCAAAGACAGCGGCACCAATAGCACCAGCACGACAGTCAAGTCAACAGACACAAGTGAAACTCACCGTGAAGACGTTTTTGATAGAATTATAGATCGTCTAACTGACGCTCTCGAGAATGTACCTGAGGAGAATCTTTTACGAGAAAATAATGAAGATCTTAATATTAGCAGCTTATTTGGTATAAAGCACAGCGACCAACCAGCATCTCATCTCCCCGCAGAATACCGCGAGTCAGCGTCAGTATCTACACATGGCATTATTGATGAAGGCGACGTTACCACACCACTGAGTCTGCTCGACTACCTGCCACCGATGGACTCCCTCGCCATGGCTTCAGTTTCCGAAGGCAGCGCTCAAACCTCCCTCAACCAAACAAACACCCTGAAGGAAGCATTAGCAGAAGACTCGACGGAAACTCTGATGGAAACCCCTACGGAAGCACCTGCAGAGGCACTAACGGAAGACCTGACAGAAGCTCTTTATTATGAATACCCAAAAGTCAAAGACGAGGAAGATTTCAAAGGTTATGACTACTATGAGGACCTTGTTGACTCACTGACTGCCCAAGACAGGCCATACGAGGACAAGGATGATAAAACAGATATGATAACAGTAACCACAGAGCCAGACAAAACATCCGAAAGCACCATCCAACCTATAAGTTATCCTCACACCCTGCCTGAGTTCCACTATCCTGACCTGGAGGTGACCACAGATGATCTCGTGGCTCACATCTCAGAGACAGAGAAAGTCAATGGAAAGCCACTTCAAGAGAGTAAGAAAACTGAAGCAATCTCCGGACACGATTTATTAACAAAGGATGAAGCCAGTGGAAGTGAGGAGCTCACTCCCACAGACTCTTCACTTACTGATCTGAATAAGGGAGAGGAAATAACAACCACTCCTGGTGCTACTGAAGATGTCTCACTTGCCATAAACAATCATACTAACTCCTCGACAGAATTATCTATTCCTATGTTAATTCTTCGCAGCGGGGAGCTGCTGAGTAATCTTCTGAACAGCCAGTATATGAAAGGCAACAGCAAGGTAGTCATCAAAGAGCAGGGCAGCAAGGTGGCCATCAATACTCCAGCACAACTGATTGATGAGATGCATACAGTAGAGGGTGTTGCTTCACATGCCCTGGACCGCGCTGACATGACCACCACAGAACTTCCATCAGCAGATCTCATGGTGTCAGTAACTCCCTATCCACCAGCGTCGGCAGATCAACAGGTGAAAAATTCACCTAATACGGTTGTGGAAGTAAGTATGACAGGGAATCACGCGATAGGCACCGATACTGTGCAAACTGTCCCTGAACTCGGTGTAATTAAAACTACTGACACTAAAAAAGAAATAGAAGCAAAAGAAGTGATACAGACTCAAACAGGAAGTAATATTAAGGAAATGTTGACAAGCAATAGAGATAGCAACAAGGAAGGCTTGATGGGCCCAAGTGATGAATTTAGAGATGAAGAAGCGAAGGGATCCTTAGCTAACAAACATCATAGCTTCAGTGTAGTAACTGAAAATGGTACAGGGAAACAATCTAAGACACAAGATATACAGAATAAGAACCACGACCTAACACCTTCAACGAGTGACAAAGGGGACACAGCAAATGCCCAAGTAACGAGAGGCACCAACATTACTGCTGAAGGTTATGACACTAACGTAAAAACCAAGTCTCCACAGGCGACAACAGAACAAGAGGGTACAACTGAGGAACCAGAGATGGCTACCATTCTCATCCCTTATTCCTTTGTGCAGTTTCTTGGCCACGCTTCGACTTCTTCCCATCACGAAAATGTGGATGAGGATCCTGCAGGCAAAATCGAGGAGCTTCAGCCACCTTTCAACACAGGAGGTGAAGGTCCAGAGCATCCTGGAACAGGAATTACAAATGGAGTCAGGGATAGAAGCCCGGTTCAAAACGAAGGGAATCCTGATTATTACGTCAATGAAAGTTCATTCAATGTTGATGATAATCCCGTTGACTATACCGCTGACAGGCCTTTTTACGGAGGTGGTGAAACTCCAGCATCTGATGGAGGTAGTCCACAAAATAATGGTGGAAACAAGCCATTTTATAACAATGAAGAAAGTTTAGTGTATGGTGGAGAAGAAATTCCAGCACATGGTGATGAAGAAAGTTCGGTACATGGCAAGGAAAGTTTAGTGTATGGTGAAGAAAGCCCACTGAATGTTGGAGAAAGTCAAAAGTATGTTGGAGGAAGACCAGTGTATGATGGAGAGGCGCCTGTGTATGGTGAGGGAAGACCTGTTTATGGTGAAGAAAAATGGACTGAAGCTGCTGGAAGAAGACCAGTCTACGGTGCTGGAGCCAGACCAGTTCATGTTGGTGTAGAAAGACCAGAGTACGGCTGGGGAGAAAACGAAGCACACAACGAGGAAAGACCAACATACGGTGAAGAAACTCCAGTACACAAAGATGAAGTAAGTCCCTTGCTGGGGAACCAGGAAGCTGGAGGACTCAGTCGCAAAGACGACTCTGGGGCCCAAGAATACGGCGGAGACTCTCCTTTCTTCATCAAGCTGCCGGGAAGTCCCAATGCAGTGCCTGTTTTCCTCCAATATGAACCAATACAAATCAAATACATACCCTCCGAACAGCTAGACAAAAAGGGAGAACAGGAACATATCGGAGATGAGAGTAATGAAGGTATATCAGAACCAATACAAGATTCCCAGGTTACAGATGTCTCTATGCTTACGATGGAAGAGCGGAACAAGACAAAGGAAGACTCTGATCAGAAAGCGGGGACTGGCTCTCTCGGCAGCGCACTTGACAGAATACTGGATGACTCCGCTGCAACCTTTAACACCCAAGTCGTCGGACAACAAACGGAAGATAAAGAACAAAAAACTGAAAATTTTATTCCTCACAAACCAATAATAAAAGCACCTGACCCGTTCTTCCTGATGGAGGCGCCTCAACTTGGGAAGCCTGACCAACCACCCCCACACACACATCAACACTCATCCCATTCCCATGAAAATGAAGATTACTCCGTTGATCTCTCCAGCAAACTGAGCTTCGGAAGTGGCCGACCTGAGCCACAGGAAGGGACGGCAGGCACAGTGGAGGATGTTCCACTGGGAACTAAGCAAGAGATTCTCTACCCCGGAGATTACGACTCCCACGACGCATACACCGGCGTCAACCTCAGCTCCCTAATGAATCCAGTATTTGAGCTCGTCACCAAGACAACAACAATGTCCCATGAGGACCGCATGAACCCTCAATACACCCCTTTCCCAATCACAACTAATGCTCCGCGCTTAAGAGCAAACCCCATCCCAATGGACATTCTTTCTGTCCTTGCCACCCCTCGCCCCAAGACTACAGACACGCAGGGTGTTAGTCACGTGTTTTCCGGGAGCACCAATCAAACATCCACCCTCGTAACACAGCCGACAAGTACGATCACGAAAACGTTACCGAGTGTCGAGTACTCTCCCATCCCAGCCGTCAATTTCGAAGATTCTTACGATTCTCCCTTCATTCCCCATCATTTCTTTGACAAGGAAAACCAAATCTTGGCAGGCAACTCAGACCTTCCAGAGGGATACCCATTAATATTTCACGGGTTGCCACACAACTTGAAAGAGGACGCTTCTCCGGATAACACTCGCTGGGTCTCTGCGTTGCCCTACAAAACATCCGACGCAGCAGTCCACAGCACGACGCAGTCAACACAGCAAAACTCCGACGAGTACAGGACCACAACAACCATAATCACAACCAATACGGATGAAGCCATAATTTCTACACATCATTCTCCTCCTCCTTCGGAGCATCTGAAGGCACACCATCAGGTGAGAAAGTTTCTCGTTATTACCAGTACTGACTCACCATTGGTTTCCAATGTATTTCTTGTATATTAGAAACAGCAAGACCTCAGTGTTAATATTACACTATAGCCTATTGTTTTTAAACACTGTATTCCATTAACTTTAGTAGATATAACAGTGCTGATGGTGCCATATTCATTTCATAATAATAAGAAAAAAGTATAAGTATGAATTAATATTTGTAGTGATAATAATAATAATAATAATAATAATAATAATAATAATAATAATAATAATAAAAATAGTAATACTAATAATAACAACAATAATAAGAAAAACAATAATAATAATAATAATAATAATAATAATAATAATAATAATAAAAATAGTAATACTAATAATAACAACAATAATAAGAAAAACAATAATAATAATAATAATAATAATAATAATAATAATAATAATAATAATAATAATAATAATAATAAAAATAGTAATACTAATAATAACAACAATAATAAGAAAAACAATAATAATAATAATAATAATAATAATAATAATAATAATAATAATAATAATAATAATAATAATAAAAATAGTAATACTAATAATAACAACAATAATAAGAAAAACAATAATAATAATAATAATAATAATAATAATAATAATAATAATAATAATAATAAGAAGAAGAAGAAGAAGAAGAAGAAGAATGTAGTAATATATTAAAAGCGACATTCTCATGTGATAAGCTTCAAGGAGAGTGAACGTTGATGCTGGTCAAGGGATAATGATGGTAGAATTTAAACTTTTCTTTCCTTTGCTCTGATGTGATTACTTATCATTCACTAGGCGCTTAATGACCCTTACGGGTTAAGCACTTTCCTATTAATACAATGATATCGCTCTACATCTCACAGGAGTGGGTGTTCCCCCAGTCCCGGCAGGAGCCGGATACAGGAGAATACTACAGATCCCATCATAGCCGGGTGAAGCCTGGAAGAGGATCCTACTATAGATATCACTCCCGGCAGGAGCCTGGGGAAGGGAACAGCTCCGACAGGCTTCCCCAGCAGAGCCCAGCCCGAGTCTACTCTGCTTTCTACTCACCTCGTGAGATTCCAGGCATTGACCCAGCTGTCTTCAGTTACAGGAAGGTGAGTCTTAGCGCCGCTGTCTCTCAGTGTTTGTTCTGACAACCGGAGATCTGTCAGTGTGTATGTGTACTCACCTATTTGTACTCACATGTTTGTGGCTACGGGGCTCGAGATACAGCTCCTGGCCCCGCTTGTTCTCTGCTCGCTACTAAATCCACTATCTCCCTGCTCCAAGAGCTTTATCGTACCTCTTCTTAAACCTAAATATGAATCTTGTGTGTGTGTGTGTGTGTGTGTGTGTGTGTGTGTGTGTGTGTGTACTCACCTAGTTGAGGTTGCGGGGGTCGAGTCCGAGCTCCTGGCCCCTGTGTGTGTGTGTGTGTGTGTACTCACCTAGTTCTCACCTAGTTGAGGTTGCAGGGGTCGAGTCCAAGCTCCTGGCCCCGCCTCTTCACTGGTCGCTACTAGGTCACTCTCCCTGAACCATGAGCTTTATCGTACCTCTGCTTAAAGCTATGTATGGATCCTGCCTCCACTACATCGCTTCCCAAACTATTCCACTTCCTTACTACTCTGTGGCTGAAGAAATACTTCCTAACATCCCTTTGATTCATCTGTGTCTTCAGCTTCCAACTGTGTCCCCGTGTTGCTGTGTCCAGTCTCTGGAACATCCTGTCTTTGTCCACCTTGTCAATTCCTCTCAGTATTTTGTAAGTCGTTATCATGTCCTCCCTATCTCTCCTGTCCTCCAGTGTCGTCAGGTTGATTTCCCTTAACCTCTCCTCATAGGACATACCTCTTAACTCTGGGACTAGTCTTGTTGCAAACCTTTGCACTTTCTCTAGTTTCTTTACATGCTTGGCTAGGTGTGGGTTCCAAACTGGTGCCGCATACTCCAATATGGGCCTAACGTACACGGTGTACAGGGTCCTGAACGATTCCTTATTAAGATGTCGGAATGCTGTTCTGAGGTTTGCCAGGCGCCCATATGCTGCAGCAGTTATTTGGTTGATGTGCGCTTCAGGAGATGTGCCTGGTGTTATACTCACCCCAAGATCTTTTTCCTTGAGTGATGTTTGTAGTCTCTGGCCCCCTAGACTGTACTCCGTCTGCGGTCTTCTTTGCCCTTCCCCAATCCTCATGACTTTACACTTGGTGGGATTGAACTCCAGGAGCCAGTTGCTGGACCAGGTCTGCAGCCTGTCCAGATCCCTTTGTATTTCTGCCTGGTCTTCGATCGAATGAATTCTTCTCATCAACTTCACGTCATCTGCAAACAGGGACACCTCGGAGTTTATTCCTTCCGTCATGTCGTTCACAAATACCAGAAACAGCACTGGTCCTCGGACTGACCCCTGTGGGACCCCGCTGATCACAGGTGCCCACTCTGACACCTCGCCACGTACCATTACTCGCTGCTGTCTTCCTGACAAGTATTCCCTGATCCATTGCAGTGCCTTCCCTGTTATCCCTGCTTGGTCCTCCAGTTTTTGCACTAATCTCTTGTGTGGTACTGTGTCAAACGCCTTCTTGCAGTCCAAGAAAATGCAATCCACCCACCCTTCTCTCTCTTGTCTTACTGCTGTCACCATGTCATAGAACTCCAGTAGGTTTGTAACACAGGATTTCCCATCTCTGAAACCATGTTGGCTGCTGGTGATGAGATCATTCCTTTCTAGATGTTCCACTATTCTTCTCCTGACAATCTTTTCCATGATTTTGCATGCTATACATGTCAGTGACACTGGTCTGTAGTTTAGTGCTTCATGTCTGTCTCCTTTTTTAAATATTGGGACCACATTTGCTGTCTTCCATGCCTCAGGCAATCTCCCTGTTTCGATAGATGTATTGAATATTGTTGTTAGGGGTACACATAGCACCTCTGCTCCCTCTCTCAGGACCCATGGAGAGATGTTATCTGGCCCCATTGCCTTTGAGGTATCTAGCTCACTCAGAAGCCTCTTCACTTCTTCCTCGGTTGTGTGTACTGTGTCCAGCACATGGTGGTGTACCCCACCTCTCCGTCTTTCTGGAGCCCCTTCTGTCTACTCTGTGAACACTTCTTTGAATCTCTTGTTGAGTTCCTTACATACTTCACTGTCATTTCTTGTTGTCTCTCCTCTTTCATTCCTTAGCCTGATTACCTGGTCCTTGACGGTTGTTTTCTTCCTGATGTGGCTGTATAACAGCTTCGGGTCAAATTTGGCTTATGCTGCTATGTCGTTTTCATATTGACGTTGGGCCTCCCTTCTTATCTGTGCATATTCGTTTCTGGCTCTACGACTGCTCTCCTTATTCTCCTGGGTCCTTTGCCTTCTATATTTCTTCCATTCCCTAGCACACTTGGTTTTTGCCTCCTTGCATCTTTGGGTGAACCATGGGCTCATCCTGGCTTTTTCATTATTCCTGTTACCCTTGGGTACAAACCTCTCCTCAGCCTCCTTGCACATTGTTGCTACATATTCCATCATCTCATTAACTGGCTTCCCTGCCAGTTGTCTGTCCCAATGAACCTCATTCAGGAAGTTCCTCATTCCTGTGTAGTCCCCTTTCCTGTAGTTTGGTTTCATTTCTCCTGGCCTTCCTGCTTCCGCCTCTACTTGTAGCTCTACTGTGTATTCGAAGCTCAAAACCACATGATCGCTGGCCCCAAGGGGTCTTTCATATGTGATGTCCTCAATATCTGCACTACTCAAGGTGAATACTAAGTCCAGTCTTGCTGGTTCATCCTCTCCTCTCTCTCTTGTAGTGTCCCTTACATGTTGGTACATGAAGTTTTCCAGTACCACCTCCATCATCTTAACCCTCCATGTATCTTGGCCCCCATGTGGCTCCAAGTTCTCCCATTCGATCTCCTTGTGGTTAAAGTCGCCCATGATCAGGAGCTTTGCCCTGCATGCATGAGCTCTTCTGGCCACTGCAGCCAGTGTGTCAACCATCGCTCTATTGCTCTCGTCATACTCTTGCCTTGGCTTCCTGCTGTTCAGTGGTGGGTTATACATCACTGCAATTATCACCTTGGGACCTCCAGAGTGAAGCGTTCCCGCTATGCAATCACTTCTCCGCTGTCTCCTCTCTCCAGCTCATCAAAATTCCATCGGTGTTTGATCAGCAATGCCTCTCCTCCACCCCCCCTGTTCCTTCTGTCATTCCTCAGGATCTGGCATCCCGTTGGAAAGATGGCATCTGTTATCACACCTGTAAGCTTGGTTTCTGTGATCGCTATGATGTCTGGTGATGCCTCTTTGACTCTTTCATGCCATTCCTCCAACTTGTTTGTTATTCCATCAGCGTTTGTGTACCATACCTTCAGTTTCCTTTCCAACACTGTGGTTTGGGGGGCATGTGGGGGTGGGAGACCTGGTAGCATACTGTGGGATTCTATGGTTGGGGGTTGGGTGGAAGCTGTGGGTATGGATTGTATTGTGTGTTTTGATGGTGTGATAGGTTGTGCGGTTCTGAGGATAGTTGTGTGTGTGCTTGCCCTTGCTGCTCTGTTCTGCTCTGACTAACCTCTGCTGGTTCCATCCTTGTCTCCTTTCCTAGCTCCTTTCGCTTTTTTGTCTTCTCCCTCAGCTGCTGTCTCTCTGTTTGTGTTCTGTCTCTGTCTAGGAACACCTTCTTGTACTCTTCCGAGCTTTTCAACCGTGGTTTCTCTTGGAGGATCCTGTTCTGTAGTGTTTCTGTCCTGAGAATCAGCTTGATCAGTCGGTTTCTCCCCTTCAAGTACCCCCTATTCTCTGAAAATTTACAATCTCGTCCATGTCTTCTCCCCCTATTTCCGTGATGATTTTCTCAATCTCCTTTCTTTCTTCCTGCCGTCTTTCAGTGTGTGTCCTTTCCTCTCTCTCCCAAAGCCCATGGATGAACACTGATTTTGCCCTTTCCTCCTCCCATTGCCTCTCCCTCTGTGACTCTGGTTCCTGTCTGTATGTGGTCATTTTCTCCCTTGATTTTTCCAGTGGCTCTTGGTAGCATGGTTGTGCCTCAGCATTCGACCTATCTCCCTCTCCATCTGCACCCATCTGCTCTTCCCTTCCACTCCCTGGCCCTTCTTTGCAGGCTGATATGACCTTAGCATAATTCATATCTCCTTCCTTCCTGTTCAGCCTCTCAGCTTCGTATGGTGTGTCTTCTCTGGTCATTACCCCTGAGTCTTGCTTCAGCCTGTTTACCTCAAATTCTAGGACCTTTACCCTGGCTACTGCAGTTTTGACTTGTGCCTTCCAACTCTTCGTCTCCCTCTCCAACCTCTTTTACCATTTCACAGAGAGCTCTTTCTCCATTTTTTTTTAGAAAGCTATCCTAATTTTCTCTCCCATTCTTGCTCTATCCTTTTCCACTGCTCCTCCATCCATTCCTCCCTTCCAGTACCATTGTCATCTGATCCCTGATTCCTGCGAGTCCCAACCAATTTTTTTTTTAGTGAAAGAGAGAGAGAAAGAGAAAAAGAAAAAGGGGAGAGAGTGAGAGAGAGGGAGAAATAGAAGGGGAGGGTAGAAGGAGAGAGGGAAAAAGAAGGGAAAAGGGGGGAGAAAGTGAGAGAGAGGGAAAAGGTAAGAGAGAGGGGGAGTGACAAGGGAAGAGAGAGAGAGACAGAGAGAGAGAAAAGAAGAGGAAGAGAGAGGAAGAGATAGAGAGTAAGAGAGGAAGAGAGGAAGGGAGAGGGAGAGAGAGAGGGAGAGAGAGAAAGAGAAAGAGAGAGAGAGAGATAGATAGATAGAGAGAGAGAAGAGAGAGAGAGAGAGAGAGAGAGAGAGAGAGAGAGAGAGAGAGAGAGAGAGAGAGAGAGAGAGAGAGAGAGAGAGAGAGGAAGAGAGACGGGGGGGGGGAAGGAAGGGTTATAGGGTTACTTCACAGGAAGGTGTGAAATCCTGTATATGTGTGTGTTTGTGTCTGTATGTGTGTGTGTGTGTGTGTGTGTGTGTGTGTGTGTGTGTGTGTGTGTGTGTGTGTGTGTGTGTGTGTGTGTGTGTGTGCTACAGCTATTCAAGTGCCTAACAGCAGAGCCTGTTCTCACCTAATGTGTGTGCATATGTTTATGTAAACAGTCCTTGTTT